CAAAATATAGGCAGAACCTGGCAGAACTATTCTGTCAATTTATTTACGAAAAATACTGTCAAAAGTCATCTAGTCCTATGCTGTACACCTATTACTGCCGCAGGGGTGGGACACTGCAAAATTAAAAGTCTGTTATAGAAATGAATACTAGAATCAGTAGTGGAAGAACGTAGGAGTATGCTGAAAAAGGTATCATCTTGCAGTTGCCATGTTGATAGACTTCTGTGAGCATGGTCACTAATTTCCCTGGCACAGGTGGGTGCCTCTCCTATGAGCACTTTGATATGATACAGAGAAACAGCGGTTACCCCTCAAAGAACTGAGTTGAGGGTCTATTTGTATATAGTAAGGAGGAAATCAGATTGCCAGGTAGGAGATCTGAGTTTAGGTCCCAGGTCTGACTGTGTTGTTTTTGAAGACTAAGTTATGCCTGATCAAAACAAAAGGTATTTGATTTTACTCAAGGCATTCAATTTAATTACACAATAGGCATTCATTTTAATTACACAGTGCTAATGTGTAACAATGGGTGCTGTGTATTTCTTTTAAGGCATATTTTAATTGAAACATATCAGAGTTCAAACACAAGATATCTTGGTAGACAAAACAAAATGATAAAGGATACAAATCTTGTTAAAAATGGAAGCATTGTTAGATTTACCAGATGTCAATATGGTTTTAACCATTACCATACAGAAATGTACATCTCTTTCAGTTGGAACTCTTTTTAACTGGTGGAGATCTCAAATGACAATTTTGTAGTAGCCTGATATGTGTGCTCATGTGTCTTGTGCATGTATAGAATGTACATCTGACATTTGATTTTTTTATATTTCTATTATAGGCTGTAAGATGACTGTGTAGAAATGATCTATTCCAGTATCAGGTATGTACCATTTTTAAAGATAATTTGGAATGTAGTATCAGGAGTGTAAACTATTTTCATGAGCTATTTCTCTCACAGTGTTAACATTAATTGTTCTTTTTACCACCTAATTCTTCAATAGACAAATAATTTGATGAAAATTAGTAATTTTGTCATTGTACTTAAGGAACAAAAGTGAATATGTTTGCATAGTATTTAAACTTAACTTGGCATTTCCAAATATACTAATTCTCATTCTGGTGGAGGGAATGCATGCATTGAAACTTTCAGGTGTATTCTTACACCTCACCATTAAGAACTTAAGCCATCCCAGCTAAGTTAGGAGGATAGTCCTCTAGCATCCCTCATAGCGGTGGAAAGATACAACAATCTGCAGAATTTGGGACCTGCTCTAGAACTATTCAGAGGTGTCTATGGTGCTTCTATATTAATTTTAGGATTAGAAATAAATTTTTAAAGTGAATCTTTCAGTCATTTTCATTTATTGTGCTATCACAAAGTGGTCTCACAGAGCATGTAATGGAGTCCTTTTAGATGATGGAATGAAACCAAAATGTGCACCTACACTAATGTTTCCTTTATTGAGTGCCCCATTTCCTGAAAATAATATGGGAAAAGAAACATGTACTAGATGGCAGGATCCACTTGCTAATTGCACCCCTCCTTTAATAAACTTCAATGATACACAGTATTTGATGCAGAAATCCAGAATTCTTCTCCTTACCCACTAGATGTCACCATTTACACAGAAAAATTTGTGAGAATATATTTTTCTGCCTGTTAAAAGCGAGGTTGATTGTTCTGACCACACCTTAATCAAAGTAGAACTCCAGTCCAAGAAATTCCAAGAAATTTGTTATGTTCTTTTAAAGCTGTGCATCCTCTGACCTTGTTTATTAACTGGCAAACATTGAAAATATTTTACAGGAAACGATACATGGCTTCCTTATTCCATATTCTCTTGAGGCTTGGCCCCACGTGGTAGTAGGCTTCTCCATTCCTTACCCTAGTTTGCTTTCCTCTGCTTCTCTTACATCCAGAGTCATTTGAATTGCCTATTCAGTAAAATAAACTGGTAAATCCTGTTAGGTACCTTGCTAATTGGAAGTTTTAAATAGGCAGTATCCTCTTTTCCTATTTTATTATTATCTATTATAGCTATCACATCAGAGAAGCCCACTGTGACAACTTCCCCTGTCTTTATTATTAACACAGTTACACTAAGATTATGGATAAAAATGAAGGGAGATAAAAAAATATTCAGGCAGCTTTATTTGCCTGGGTTTAGCTGTTCTGTGTTTGAATGTTCTTTAATTGTACCAGAGGTGTTCTTTATTATAATCATCATAATTTTTAGACTAATTTTCAGGGATTTTGTTTAGGTTGCTGTTTCATGTATTAATACATTTTAAAGTCAGAAAAGGCAACTGTCATGATGAAGAGGATAAACTTCTTGATAGCTCTAAGTAGTCCTTGGGTGAGCATGTTTCAGCAGTGTACACTAATAACTGTAGCTGACTTAGTGTGCTTTTTTATTTCCTCAGGGATAGGAAAGATCATAAAGGCTGTGAATCTGAGCAATTGTTTGTGAAAGGCCATTGGATTAGAACATATGTTTCAAAAGATGCTGCTTTGTAGTCCAAAAGAAAGCGTATTTTACTACTTGTGCAGATACTGCTCCCGCAGTGAAAAAGTTGTCTGAATTCTGGAATAAATTTTGCTGCTTCTATATTCTGTCTCTGTATTTTGCCTTTTTTTCTCCTAGATTTGAGTTCCCTAATTGCAGTTTTTCCTGCATGCTACTTGAGACCAAAGTCAACTAATCTCTGAACCTTGTATGATACATTGAAATAGACTGAATTTAAGTTTATTCCTTTAACACATTTTTCCAATTTATTAAAATGCAGAGATATTAGGGCTTCATTTAATATTGAATACTTTAAATACAACTATTGACATTCAAGTGTTTAATTCAGAGAAATAAAACTGACAGAGCATAGTAATACTTTGCATTTAGTTAGTATATTATATCCAAAATTTATGAGCATCATGCAGACATCTTAAGTGTTGCGTTGTTACTGTAAGTCTTGTCATATTCACTTTATGAAATAGGCAAATGTGGCCCAGAGGGACTGTAAGTAGCTCGAAATCATTAATTAAGAACATAGAATTCAGAATTTCTCCTCCAACCATTAAAGTACCATTTTTCACTTCTGATGTAGTAAAGATATTACACAGAACATCCCTTCAACTCATCCCACCAAACTCTTGACAATACTCAGTTGACGGAGTTCCGGTTCCATCAGAACTTTGTTATTAAGCTAACTGAGCAATTTCAGAAGCAAGAAGACATTCAGGAAGTGGTAAATTCATCAGCGCAACAAAATGAATGGGAGGACATTCTTTTTACGTTGAACCTTCAGGATGCCTCTGTAATCATCCTTCCCAAAATGTATAGAAAAACTTACAAAAACTCACCATTACATGCATATATGAATTTAGCTGTTGAAGTTATCTGGTTCTTGGATTTCTTCTGAAAACTAACATACTCCACAGTGTTTGCTCAAAATGTTTCTCTCAAAACGTTTCAGAAGAATAGGAATGAATGCTTTACTGGTGTGCCATAAACAAGGTGGTCTTGAGATATTCAGCTAATAAAGGGCCTGAGATCTCCCCTGCCTCAGTTCTCCTCCCCGCTCCTCAATCTGTATACTCTTTTTTTTATTTTAGTGTAATTGTTCTGTGAAATTTTAAGCTTCTCATAACTTAGCTCATGCAATATATGCCACTATGTACTTTTTTGCTGAGGAGCTATGTTTTCTTCCTTTGGGAGCAAATCTGTACCTGACTGCACTTAGGAAGAGGGGATCAAGAATTAGTACTTAGAAACAGTTAAATCAATGGCTGAGCAAGTGAATGCTCAGTTGGTAGAGTGAACCTTAGCTGCAAACTTCTCTGTCAAGGCTGCCTCCCAGCTTTTCCAGATGAAGCTGTTTTTACAGATGCTTGTCATTCAAGTTGTGGACGAGGCCCTGAGCAACATGATGTAATGTCAAAGCCAACCCAGCTTTGAGTTGTAGGTTGTACTTAGATGTCTTCCTGAGATTCCTTCCAACCTAAAGTATTCTATTATTGTGTGTTTTTCCTGAAATATTTTACAGCATTTACAGCATGATTTATGAAATGCAATTAAAGGATAGAAAAGGTAAACATATTTCATGAATTTTATTTTCTGTTTTGCAAGCTTGAGTTGTTGCTTATGAGTTAGCCTCATTATAGTAGGAAGAGTTTGCCTACTACAAGATACATGGATTAGTATTGCCATGGCACGCTTAGGTTATTTGCCAACTTGTAGGAAGAAGAAAATATGTCTGTATAGTCTATAATGACCTATATTCTGTAAGTCTAGAAACAACAGCATACCCTTCTTGAATAGATAGTGATAGTATGTTGAGTATGGAAAGTCTTAGCAAAATTTCTAGGACATAAAAATACTATTTTTTTCAGTAAAGTTAACATGTACAGGTATAAATGAAGCGAGCATGATATCAAAGAGATACAGCAGGTTACAATATGAGTTGACATTTCAAAAAAGTTTATGATTTGAGGGAAGCTATAAATAAATGGGGTAGATTTTTTTAAACAGTTGAAGCTTCTTTCTTGGACTATGCAAAGTACCTCCTCTTGCAGAACTCCCTTCACAAGCAATGTGTTCCCGTGGAGTAAGTTGAAAGAGAAAAATATATTTCACCAATCACAGAAACCGTATTCTATTTCTTCCTTTTCTGTAGCTGAATAGTTTATAATCACTGAAGATCTCTATTTGTATCTCCAGATTTTGATCTACACAATGAAAGACGTAATCTCAAATTGGAAAATGTGTACAATAGTGTAACAGTTCTGAGATTGCCGCTGAGTTTTTCAGATTCCTGATCTGAATTAGTTCTTCAAATGTGTTCAAGCTGTTAAATGCACGTTTCCCACTTTTACTAACACTTGTTTATAAATTACAGTTTTTCAAAGTCTTTATCCATGGTGTTTGTCTTTGAAACAGGAAGATTTTGTTTGGTTGAACTCTTGAGCTGCTTTTTAGCTCAAAAAAGTCAGACCAATATCAGTGGATGTGAAGAATCTTTTTGAATGTCTTCTTGAAATTCTGGTTACAAAGAGGATACAGGAATGGATTTAAGGTGGAGTTCACATAGCCAAGCCATATAGTGAACATATGTAATTTTGAAAATTGTTCATGGCCATGGAAAGCTATTACCATAAATAATACAAAATAGGGAATCCAGCAGAGCATAAAAGTTGCCATTATGGCCCCTAACTGCTTAGCTGCTTTCTTCTCCCTGTTCCCATGCAGTCTTTGAATGTGCCTTTTGGAATGAGTATGCAGGCTTTGCCAGGTTTTCCTCAGGTAAGACAGTCCACTGTTCTCAGGCTTTTCCTGAGGACTGCAGCCTCTTTCAGGGTTATGACTGGGGTGCTCTTCGCAGGGTACCTCATCTGTGAAAGTATGGTTGTCTGATGCATCACTTAAGTCACTGTCTTGTGAGCAAGGCTCCTCTTCATTTTTGTTGTCTTTTGTGACACACACACACTTCTTTCCTGCTTTATCCAGGCCTGGCTCAGACTGGGCAGTGGTGAGAGGAAAACAGCTCCATTTACGGACTTTCCTGTTACTTTTGCTAACGAATGCCTTTGAAGACTTGTCGGGATTACTGAAATGAAGCTCTGCTTCCATATTTTCAGGCTGAGGGGAGCTTTGCTTGTCCTTTGGAGGGGTGTTCTCATCTAAGATTTGCTTTTGGAGGCAAATATTTTGCTCATCCTTCATCTTATTATGATGCATGGGTTTTTTTTCTGAGAAAGACCGATGTGATCCATCGATGAGCTCTCGGTGCTGACAGTGTTTTCGAACAGCTCTGAATATTTTATAGTAGAACCATAACATCAAGATAGAGGGTAGGTAGAAATTGACAATGGCTGTGAACACTTTAAACCAGGTGACTTTAGAGAATTCAGTTTCACACTTGTTTGCCTCTACCTTCCTTTTCCCATTATTAGCAAAAACATGCCATCCTAGGATTGGAATGACCCACATGAAAGAGAGCAACCAAACCCCCAAAATCATTAGTGATGCTCTCATTTTTGTTCTATACTTGAGATATTTCAGTGGTTGCTGAACTGAACGATAACGGTCAATGCACAATATGAAGAGATTGAAAATGGATGCAGTACTGGCCACATAATCCATTGACAGCCAGAACAAACAGGCTGGTAAGCCTAGAGTCCACACAGGGCTTAGGAGATAAACAATATTCAGGGGCATAACAGCTGCACCAACTATAAGATCTGCAATAGAGAGGCTGACAATGTATAAATTGCCAACTGTTTGCAGCTTCTTTTCAGTTTTCACGGCACATAGTACTAATATATTCATGACAATAGTGATCAGTGAAATGCTTCCCAGGAACAGACCTAGAAGAGCTGAGTGAGGGTTAGTCAAGTTCTCTGTTGTGTTTTTTGACATCTTTTGCACACAGAATGAAAATCAGAGATGTCCAGGCCTTGGAAATTCAGTCTTGCTTTACGCTCCTGGATGAAAACGTGTTGGATTGCTTTGTGATTTTTATTTCCAGAACTATAGAAAAGAAAAGAAATATGCTCAATCACTGTAGTACTAAAATAAAATAATAAAACTAATCTGTTCTTCAGCTTAGCACTGTCCCTTTTAGGACTTTCCTAAATGATTAATTTTTACAACATTTTACACATGGGTAATTTAAGATATGTTCTATGAAGAGTACTGATGCAAGCTCCATGAGCCAATCCAAAATGGTTTGCAGAGGTGTTTCATGGGGCTTCATATAATTCTGACCCCAGAACCTGGAGAAGAGATTTCAGTCCTCACTGTTTGAATTTCTTATATCTCATTAAATAGCTGATCATGAACTATAACATAAACTATATATTGGCAAACCAATTTAAAATATGTTAATAAAAAGCAAATTAACGTGTTTTGTACTAAATAGTTTTAAACAAACCAGTGATTATTCACAAACTACATCTAATAGTTTGAGAATACAGCAGTTGGATTTAATTATCCACCAGTAATCATAGAATTATTTAGGTTGGAAAAGACCTTTAAGGAGTCCGAGTCCAACCATTAACCTAACAGTGCCAAGGCCACCATGAAACCATGTCCCTAAGCACCACATCTATGCATCTTTGAAATACCTCCAGGGATGGGGACTCAACCACTTCCCTGGGCAGCCTGTTCCAGTGCCTGACTACCCTTTCAGTGAAGA